GCCAATGATACCTGATGATGATGAGGACATTTTCCCTCCCAAACAGAGGTTCCTGAATAAACAGAAGCCTTAAATAGTTTTAAGTGTGTGTTATACTGACATGAAAAATTCCCTGCATAATACCCTTTAACCACCTTACATGTTCCCTGTCACATTAAGTCCAAGTAAGATGCAACTGACTCACCTGTGCTTAAAAGGCACGTTTGAAGAATGAGAAAAACAAGGCTGGCATTTTATATTAGCCCAAGCTCAGTCAGAGGAAGTTAAAGGGCAGCTAATAAAATAGTCTTCCTAATTGTTCTGTGAGAACACAGAGGCAGAGAGAGAAATTGACCATATGCTAATGTGACTTATAACCTTTTTTTTTTTTTAAGGGGGGGTGGGCCTTTCAAGACGCACAAAAAGGCCATTAATACAATATAAAAAGAGAAAATCCCTTTTAGCTCTTTAGTTCAACTTGCTTCTATTCTTTCTATTCTCCCGTTCTCTCCCCCCCTCACTTATTCTGAAATTAATCTGCAGAAGATTTGCTATTAACAAAGACTATTCACAGAGTGTGGCACAGTGGGCGAGAGCCTTGGCTTGAAAGATGAGGAAAGGGCCAGAGGAACAGAAGGATCAGGCAGTGCGCTCGGAAGAGCACAAAAGACAGGAGGAAATGAGCGAGGGAGTGAAAGGCACCGGAAAAGAAAGAAACAGTTAAAGAGCAGACGCCACACATCGCTGTCCGGCTCTTTCTTGACGTGTGACTCAGTGCTGCGACCACGCACGAGGACAGCGTGCACTGAGTCACCTGTAGCAACCTTCTCTGCCCACTCCTCACACCTTTGTTCTGACACTCAAGGAGAAACCGCGACTCCGTCCATTCGGCACACATTTGCACAGCTCCTCTCTCCTCCTATTCCTCCGCTTTCAAACAATTGTGCAGATCACCTGCTGCGTCCTCTTTCTGGATCATCATCATGATGATCATCATAAACATTAGTTAAACTTGGTGCCACTTTCAGTCTTCATGCCTTACATTTAAATCTCCTTTATTTCAACTTCCATAGGAAGCATTTACTCAGCTGTTTTTTTAAAAAAAAACTCTCCCTGCACGTATCCCTCCCCTCTGTATGCAGTGCTGAGGCATCTGTCATTTTCATTCTTGCTCCTATCATTCCTTTCTTTCCGTCTTTGTTCTCCTCCTCGTCCTTCTCCTTCAGATTTCATATTTTCTCTCAACCCCTGCCACCCCTCATCCCTCCTTGTCTAACATCTCCTGATTGTGCGAAATATTTATTCATCTTGTAACCCGCTTTTAAAAAAATCACACCCTCCTTCTGCAATTCATCCTCCCAATGCGACAAAGAAGCGTTACAAATAGTCCCTCCTTCCTTCTCGTTGACCCATTGTGGCGCTTCCCTTCCACTTACTTGTGGATCCTTCACGAAATGTTCAATCGCTTGTAAAGGGCTCCTTTTTCGTTCCCTTCTCCTCAGTTCTATTCCGCAGGAAATGCGTGTCATCTTCTCTTTCACTCCCATTCATTCCCAGCTCCTCTTCATTCTTTATCCTAACCCTTCACAAAATGTTCCGTCACTTCTTTTTCATCCTCACATCCTTCTTGCTCCCAATTACTTAGTAAATGCTTAATCAGCTGTCAGCTCCCATTTTGAATCGTCTCATATGTTCAGTCTTCCTCATCCATTTATTTTCCCTTTTCAGGAAATATTGCATAACTGTCACAGCTTTAAACTTTTCCTTGCATAATTAATATGGCTCCCTGCCAAATGTACATTGGTTCTGACCATGGGTGCCAGATAACTTTGCTGCCAGCTGTGTAATCCATCTAAATTCGAAAGTTATTTAGATTTTTATCACTAAAAATAACAAAATATTCACTTTTATTATTATGTTTTTAACTTGTAAACACTCGTCCATGCGTCCATCTACACTGTGTACATGTCATGTCTGATGTGATTAGCCTGTTCTGGGTCCTAATGCTCTTTCGGTTCCCAAAAGCAAAGCAGCACAGAGACACCACTGAGATTTAAAAATGATCTAAATCCTTTACACCTAAAAGAATTTAGTAATCACAGCTACAATGTGAGCACAGGTTTTGGTATTACAATGGTAGGAAGAAATAGGACCTTTCATTGGCTTAAATCCTGTTTAAGGATTTAAGGAAATCAACCACCTAACCTACACGGTGAAATGTCATTTTTAGGGTTTACCCCAAATCCCATTTTTTCCTCCACTGATTTATCGGAAAAAAACAGTGAATATCCAAGGTATCGGTACATGTGCTCTATGCCATGTACCAGTTTTGCTAGTAAAACATAATCCATATTGATTATGAAAGATGGTCACAGATAGGACATTCCCTTAGACTGTGGCTCCTGGTTGAAAGTAAAATCGATTTGGTTTTAAATTTAAAACATTTTTAATAAAGCTTAAACGTACGGTGGTCCTTAGATTTCAAACACACTGCAGCTTAAGAAAACACCAACAAAAAGCAACACTTTACTATTGCTATTAGCTGTTTACTGTTAGCTTGTCCGTCACATTGTTGTCTTCCCAAAAACACTGCCGTTAGGTTTTGTGAGTTTGTGGAATTTTTTCTGTTTTCATTGTATTTTCTTCAACTTTCTTTGTGTTTTGTGTGCTTTTGCAGCACTTGATTTGTCTTTTTCAAGTTGCAGTGCATTTGAACTCTCAGGACAGTTTTGTAAATGTGCTATTCAGCCCTGAAATATTTCACATGGCCATCTCCAGTAATTTGGGGCTCAGAAAAATAAAATACTGCAACTTAAATGAGCAATTTTAGTGAAAATTTAGCAAAGTATTGCTGATCCACATAAAAACTATATTTTAAATGCTGAACAGGTACTAAACCTGCATGTCTTTGAATACATACCTCTATTCTCTTTTTTTATGACCTTTTATTGAGATTCTCCAAGAGGTTGGAGATTCACAGAAACCACTCAATTATGGGAAATTTGCTATATTAAAATAAATAAATCTGCTGGCTGGAGGTGATTAATGGATACAAAAGTTTAGGCGAACTGCTCATACAGTATGCACTAGATATACTCTTTGCCATGTCTGTATTACTGTGATACCAAATATCACATTCTTATAAATGACCAAAAAAAAAAACTACCCATGCAAGGGTGCACAGGACAAAGAACTGTGGAAGATGAGTGATCATGCTCTCTGACTCTATAACAGCAAAAAAAAAAAAAAAAAATCAAATTTGAGTAAAGAATGTGAGCAAGTCTGCCCACACTTTGTATGCATGTGCATATAGGTTTTCATAGCACAGAAACAGTAATTACAAGCAGCCCTCAGCATCAGGAGGTCCAGTCCTGCTCAAGCGGTCATTCTGCTCAGCGCATCCCTCCAGCAGCTTTCTATTAGCAGTGGGAGTATGTTGGAGTGGAGATAAGACAGGCGCTACAGCGATGGGGGGAGGGGGTGTAATAGGAGGGGAAGGGGGAGGAAGAGTTGTATGAAACAGGCACCGGCTGATGTGTACAACAAGAGCCCCCCCCCCCCTCAACCTTCCCCGCCCACGACTACACGGGCATCTCCACACCACTCCTATCTCCAGCTCCAGGAAACTCTCAGGGTGCAATTTACCGCTTGCACTACGCTGATAATACCATCTCCCGGGCAGGAAGGAGAGGGTGATGGGCTGGGATAGAAAAGGAGAGAAAGACAGAGTGAGATAGGGGGTGAGGGCAGGAAAGAAGAAAGAGAAATGAGGGAGGGAGAACATGGGAAAGAGGAGTAGATAGAAAAAGAACAGGGATGTAATAGGTAAGAAGGGGAGGATAAAAAGGAGGACGAGGAGGAGGAAGGGGGAGTATCATCATTGAAATTGCAAATTCAATCTCAAGAGCCAATTTGCGTCCGTATGAATACTCCGATTTAACCACAGACAAACTCATCAGACTGAGTCACATCTTGACACCACGTCAAACCTATCTCCTCCCACTCAGATTAATCCACTTTTACACAACTTTATCAACAAACTCGTGCAACACCTGACCTCTTCAGTGAACAGAGCTAGGATGACTGCTGACTAAAACTTTAAAGAACTGTATACAGGCAACAACAGCTCCCTCAATGGGTCACTGGCAGATACTGCAGGGGGAAGCAACATATCCCTCACTCACATCATAACCATATTAACAAAAAAGATGCACAAAGTTTCTGTAAACATAGAGCGGCAGTCGAAGGAGAGGCAAGGCGTGTTAGGTGTAACAAGAAAAACTAGAAGAGGCAATTAGTTAAGCTTGAGTACAGAGTTGTTATTGTTTAAGTATATACAGCAAATGGTCAGCAATGCCCAGAGGGTCATTTCAGGTTGCATTAGGTCATACATAACACATAAGGTTGGCTGTAGGAGTATAGTTTTTTATTTTATGCAAAAAATACTTTTTGATTTTCATAACTTTGGATGTGATGGCAATTTTTAATTGGATTAAATCTGAATCTCCTACCACTTTGCAAATCCCTCTTGTCTTGCTTTAGACTCCCAAAGCTTTGGTACTGACCGACTTTCAGAGAAATCTGTATTAACCCTTGCAGAGAAATTACTTCCTACAGGGTCTTGCCTAGTGCAGTGTGACTGACTAAAGCAGGGGTCCCCAAACCCAGTCCGCGAGGGCCGGTGTCCCTGCAGGTTTTAGATCTCACCCTGGGTCAACACACCTGAATCACATGATTAGTTCATTACCAGGCCTCTGGAGAACTTCAAGACATGTTGAGAAGGTAATTTATCCATTTAAATCAGCTGTGATGGATAAAAGACACATCTGAAACCTGCAGGGACACCGGCCCTCGTGGACTGGGATTGGGGACCCCTGGACTAAAGTGTTTTAAATATGAACTTACTTCACTCTTATTTAAACTATCAGTAGCAGCTCAACACGACACGAAAGAAACAAGAGATTTAAACTTTAACAGAAAACATGTCTGACGCATGCATGGGTGTGTGGGTGTGTATATACCAACTGTTTGGTCCTCTCAGCTTCCAGCCGTGTTTGTTGTCTTTCCCGGCTCGTGGCTTTGGCCATCTCTTCCTTTGCCGCCTCCATTTCTCGCTGTGCCATCTTGGCCCACTCTTCCTTCAGTAACTTCTGTTGGTGTTCATACCTTAAACCATACATATAATGAATATTGCTTACATTAATGGCAAACTGACACATTAAAGTATGTAAGATGGATTACAGATAATCCTTATGACACTTTAAAAAAAAAAAAAAAACCCGCAAAAAAACAAAAAACATTTGGTCTTTTAAAGTCTTTATTTTTAATGCAACATAATCTGAAATGAGTGACTGAGTCCATAAAGTCATCGGGAAAGTCTTTACAGAGGTCACAGCTCAGGACCTTTTTCCCATAGCCTTCTATTGAACCAGAAGCCTTTTCACATGGCCTGATGGTAGGTGTTACAAAGAATGGAGGTTTAAGGCACCAGAAGCTACAGTACACTAATCTTTTATACTGTTTTTCATGGCTTTCCACAGTACAGTCAGATGTCGTATGTATATATTTATGTATGTCCACTAGGGGGCAGTATAGACACAATTTAAGCTCCCTCCATAGAATATTAGAAACATGCATTGTAGGGTAGCTTCAAACTTATCAGGAGTTTAGTTCATTCATTAGACATGAATTAGAATGCTGGCATGAAATAAGAATTACCTCCTTTTATCCATTTTCAAATGAACAAAATTACTATTAATAAAGGTCCTTATCAAACATGATTTATCCTACTAAATTATCAAAATGCAACACAGTTTAACCCGTGTCTCAAATGTCAAGTGATACCTGAGTTTAGCTTATAAATAGCAAAGGCCATAACAGCTAAAATAATTTGTGAAACTACTTTATATAGACACACTGGTAACCAATAGTGAACTAGCAAACTTGCATCTTGCAAATATCAAACCTCTTTGGATACAAAAACAGCTTCCATGAAAACAGAGATGTGTTGTACAATCGCACAACTCAGAATGGAAAAAGGAGCTTGATCATTTTTACAGGTATTTATTTATGCATTTACTTAACTTGACTTAATGTGAAACCATGCATGATGCCCTTCAGGTTAAATTAGTCAGGACTCTTTTAGAAGAAGCTCTCGATTTAAAGGCTCTCTTAAATGATAAGCATCAGATCATATTTCTGAAACCTTCACAGTGTTGCATATTATCCTGTTACAGCTCATTTTAGTTTTTTTTGATTGAGCCTTCAAAAAAAAATGTGGCACACCTTCCACATTTTTTGTTCTCTTTCCAACGCAAACAGCAACACAACCTTGTGATTTATAACAAATCACAAAAAACCTTTTGCTCCGATATGCAACAATTCTATTTGCAATGCATACAAATGGTCATCAGGCAGAAATCTTAACTAAAATCTGTATCCTGAATTTCCTTTAACTCACCTCCTCTGATCTTCCTTGCTGAAGGAGGCAGATTTGCTGGAGTGCGAACTGGGTTGTGCGCGCTGCTGTGGGCCTTGCTGAGATTGAGAGCCTGAGCTGGCACTGTGAGAGGAGGCTGAACAAAGACAACAAATGTTCAAAGGAAAAAAGATTATCACACAAGGTAAAAACAACTTTGGCACTTTTGTGGCTTACAGCTTTACTGTCAAAATAGGGACTAATGCACATGTATAATTAATACTATATAATCAAACATTGTAATCTTTCTTAAGAAAAAAAAAGTTTGTATAAACTAGAAGATTTTTCATGGCTCAAAATTTACTTTAGGTCAGACATTTGGTTGACAGTGAATCTGTGTTTTCTTAACAGAAGTGTAAAACCCTATACATTTTCTGGCAATGTTTGACAATTTGATAAGCAACAGTCGATTTCAGTAAATTAAATTCCACTAAAGAAAATGAAAAATAGTGATTTTTTTTTTCTTCTTTAAACGAGGACAACACAACTTTTCCCTGGCTGCCAAAATCATTTCCCGCTCTCAATTTATTCTGACACAGGTTTCCAGTTAAAAAGCTCAGGTAACAAATATTTTCTTAAAAAAAATTTTGTCTCGTTAAACACTATCAGCTGATGTGATACGTGCGTTTACAGATGAGAATCGAGAACCAGTTCCAAATTGTCCACTTCCCTTGAATTGTATGTGTCAAAGTTTATCAAGTTCTCACACAATGTTGGCACATTGTACTTGCAACTGCACATGGCAGAACAATGACGCCTAATTCACAGCGGGTGAGGTTTTTTCACACCTGAGTTCCAGTCAGTGTGTTCACACTGAGAGATAATAAAACTGTTAATACTGAGACTCAGTGAAACCTACTCCCACAAAAAGAGAGAGAGAGAATAAACTGTCAGCAATCAAAAGGGGAATAATTAAAACAAACTGACTTGTAAGCAAACTTGATAAGTGCAGAGGCACCAACAGAATCTAATCTCAAAAATGATCACTACCTGTGTTTGTCTGAGGGCTTGAGGCAGGTGATGACGTGCGGTCTGGGGCAATGTTGGCAACTCCTCTCATTCTTTGCAGAACATCTTCTGACAGCTGGACAAACAGAGTCAACCACAAAGCATAGAATATACACCAGCGGTCCCCAACCTTTTTTGCGCCACGGACCGGTTTATGCCCGACAATATTTTCACAGACCGGCCTTTAAGGTGTTGCGGATAAATACAACAAAATAAAACTAGTACCGGTACCGAAAAAAATAAGATTTATTCATAACACACGTGAAAAGACCCAGGAAAACCGAGTTAACAATAAAAACGATAACAAAATAACGCTGAAAACCGATAAAAACCCTGAAAACCATACATTTCACACCTGAGCCTCAACTCTCGCGGCCCGGTAACAAACGACTCACGAACCGATACCGGTCCGAGGCCCGGGGGTTGGGGACCGCTGATATACACGACGTGTGTTATTTATTTCAGAGAAAAAAACATTTGTGTAATCCTTCAGATAAAAACAACAACACCAACAAAAAAGCATGAGCCTCTTAAACATGCCATTAATAGAGGATCACTGAACCTCTATTGTATGTGTATCTGTATGTGTGTGTGTGTCTTTGTGTATCCAGGGAAGTCCTTAAGCACTACTACCCCAAAAACCACAGGAGGGAGCACTGACTCACTGTTTCTATGAGTCACACTGAATGTGCAACTAAGGCAGGCTCTCTTCTTACAGACATTTTCACAAAAGATTTTAAAAGCACTTTGGGTGCTCAGAGTAGAAAAGCACTACATAAAAACTGTTTTTACATTTACAAACCTGCTAACTCCATTGCATGCCATTACACGCCATTGCATTCCACTGCAACTTATTAATTTCCAGTCGTTGTTTTTGCAGGATCTGAGGGAGTCTTCATTTCCTCATAATGTCAGGATAATTGGAGGCACACACCCACACCAGCTGACTTTCTGTATGTGTGTGCATGCAAGAAGTTTAACTGTGGTAAATTTTAATTTACCACTTAATCATGCACACCAACAGGCTAAAGGTGAAACGAGTACACATCTGCATCATTATGACAATGCAAGAATCTCCACAAACGAGTTCAGAAAATAAATAAACATGGAGGTGTATGATTATCTAACTGATTTTGTCAGCGCTTGACAGGTGACCGAAAGCTCAGCAAAACTACACATGCCTATACCCTGTTCAAAATCATTTCTATTTGTTGTTTTGTTTTGTTCGTTATCGTTTCCTGTTTTAGAAGACGACAATTTAGTTATATATGCAACCGAATTAGTGTTTCACTTGCATACACTAACTCGCTCTACTCTTGGTTGTGTTAAAAGTATAAGCTCTTTATATGTCCAACAGCACGTGAAAGCAACACTGTAAAGAGGCGTCAACTCCACACCAAACCTCGTTTGAAATCTGCTCATTTCAAGTCATCCACTTCTAGTTAAACATATGCTCAGTTAAACCAACATGTCAGGCAGTTATGACATTTATACGATTCTCCCCGTTTTTCTTTGATACACACTGTGCAGCAGACATGTTCAAGTAGGATAACAGCGAACTTTAACGTTTCAATGCAAACTAAATGTGTTATGACATTAACGTTGTTAGCAAATGCCAGCGACTAGGTAACAGCTAAAATGTTTAATTTCGGGTAATTAGTTTTCCTGCTAGGTGGGCAATGTATATGCCGAATTTACCTTAAGGTCCTAAAGTTTTCTATATTTCTTAGAGCATCTGCCACATATATTCCTTTACTTGTAAACAAGGAACATTACTATTTTCACCTTATTACGAATGGAGTTTGGGGTTACATATTTCAGCTCTTTCAACAACCTGTCCCACCCTCTTCCTACCTTTGTACCTCCTCATTTTAGCAGTGACACTCTACCGGTCGTAGACTGATAGCTTGAACAAAGAAACAACTTAATTTGACAATAGCCAGTCAGCGCTAAGCGACACATTAAAGTAATGCTAACATGGCTTCTCAAGTGCTAGCTAAATTAGCATTACCTTGACTCCACGGAGAATTCTGACCCTGTCCTCATCGTCGACACCGAAGGACACTTTTCTTGTTGTACTCTCTCCCGAACCCATGCTTCTGCTGCAAACGCACAGCTTTCGTGGTGAGAAAAATGTTTCTAATATGAAATAATGTTGCTGTCCTGCCCAATGACAGAATGTGAGACAGAAGGGATAGGGTTGCCAGGTTCTTCGTGAACCATCCTCCTCTTGCACATGTGTAAAGGTCAGATCGTGTGTTGGAAATAATAACATTGCGTGTGAATACGAAAATGTTAATAAGAAATTATTACATGTGTGTTCTGGGGGAAGTCAGATTAAATGCAAATTGCTTAATCACTTTTTTTAAAAGAAAAAAATCAAGGATTTACAGGCACACCTGGCAACTCCAGGGTCATAGTTGAATGGCTGAAATATCAACAGCCAATCAAAGGCTATATACGGCATAGATTATTTCTATGCACCCGTAAAAGACAAAGAAAGTTGGTCACAAGACACACAGAAACATTGCCAGATAATTTTATTTGTAGAATAAACACAAAACACACAAAATGGAAACATGATCTTGTGACATAAATGTTCATGCCTCAAGATCTCACAAAGGTAGTAGGCGCCTGTATTGATAAATCTACTCTATTAAAACACCCAAAACATGAATAACACATTTTTGTAAACAATCTCATGTGATTGTAATGCTAAATTTATACAATGCACCAATGCCAGGCAGCAGACGTATTGCGGGTTTTTGTGTTAGCTGGAAGGCAGTTCACTTGGCTGACTACCCAAGCAATTTCTATGCAGGATGTATTCACATCCCACTGCTCAGTGTGATCCAGGAGTCTGGTGTGTTTGAAAGTATACTGAATACTGGGTAAACAGGCTCTTTAAACACAGCCTTTAAGGTGTGGAGGTGTTCCCTGCGCCCTTTGGTGCTGTGGAACGTCAAAGTTCCCCCCTCGTAATCCAGTGCGACCTCAATCTTGACCGGTGGTGTGGTCACTTCCTTAAGGACCACATTCGAGGAGCACTGGCACACTGTCAGCTTGCCGTTTTTCCACTGCAGCCTCCAGGACACAGTGTTGTGCCCCAGACGGCTGTGGTCACCACGGCGAGGAATGCTCTTGTAGCACACGCCCAATGACCACATGCTATTGGGTCCCACTTCTACAACCCATACATGCTCGCCGCCAGAGAAACCCTGGCTGCACAGGATCTGAGGTGCACTCGTGAAACGCTCGGGGTGCTCCAGGTACGACTGCTTGTTGGAGATGTATTTGACTGTGCGCAGATCGTTGGACACCAGCAGGTTGGGGTGGGCAGTGAAGATGCTGAAGGTGAGTTCCAGTGGGTTGAGGAGGATATGAAGAGAATCCATGAGGCGGGTCATTTCTGTGCAGAAGTCTTGGGTTTTGAGACCTCCCTGCAGGCACATATTATTGAGTGGAGCCTTTGAGGGGATGTTGGAAGAAATGGCACTGGTGACAACATGTCTCAACTTTTGTTCAATCTGCATGAACCTGGAGAGCAAAGGATTTATTATTACTTACCCCACTCATCTAGCCATATGCCATGGGTAATAATAAAAATTAAATGTCGGTTTATCAGTAAGAATACTGCATCACTTTCACTTTTCTTGCCATTTTTACATTGTTCTATATATTTCTTCTTTTTAATTGTAATAGCAGGGCAGATTTCTGTACCTGTGTATAAAGATGCATGTGTCTGTCTCATTGAGGACCTCTGTGGCACTCTTTTGGGCCTCCATCAGCTGCTGCTGCTGCTCCTCAAGTGCACTCACGCCTAGCTGCCAGCTTTTGCGGCGCTGTCCTCTCTCCTCCTCCAACAGCAAAAGCAGGCGATCCCTGTACCTGTATCACAGCACACAAGTGAAGCGGACTGGTCAGTTTTATTCCTTTTATTATCGTGATGTTACTAAACAGAGTCAGGTAGATCGATTCATCACTGTGTCTGCTTTAAAGTTGTACATGCATCCATTGCATCCATACAATGAGAAATAATCACAAAGCTCAGAAAATATTCAACAATCTAAGTTATAATCTGTGCTAATTAGATAAGGTTAGCTAGCTAGCCAAATAGTTTTTTAAAAATCAAACAAAAATGCTAAACAGATAGCATCTGATTATGTATGTGAGTTTTTTTGTTTTTGTTCTTTCAATAAATACCTGGTACTGAGAAAATGCCTGTAAGATGAAACTGGCTGAAATGCTGCTGGTAGGCTACTTAAATGATAAGAAATGTGCTCAGAGGCACACCCAGAAGTTCCTGAACTTCCAGAAAGTTCCAACCCTCAGCATGAACGTCCATATATTAATTTGGACTGACAACCTATGACATAATAAACTCCTCCAAGAGTCCCTCGGCCCTGGGAAAATTGCTGCTATGCATGCTCAATATTTTTTATATAACTTAAAGTACAACTAGCTCGCACACAGCCTTACTAATGTGACTGAGCTCTACATTCCAGTCTTACTTCCTTCCGAAGAAATACCTTCTTGAATGTTTTCTTGAAACTTACTGAAGTATTAGGGTGTTACAGACACCCTTGAATCTGCCCCACAAAACAGACACTGGTAGGCCTAAAATGCAGATAAACTGCATTCATTACATACATGCTTACTACATTCTTTGAGGGGCCTGAGTTTTGGTCTGTATTTTTATTTGCTGTTGAAAATATGAAGCACATCCTGTCAGAGAGAAGCTCCTGAAGGAACTCTGTTCTACCACCTCTGAAATATGCAGTCTGGGTTTTCCACACCTTTTTAAAGCCAATATCATTTGTCGTCTTGCTGTTTGAAAACATACTGTGCACGAAAACTGGCTGACTTTTAAAGCATTTGGGAAAAACAGATAATTCCTGTTCTTTATTGAGAAATCACTCCATCTATTTTTACATTGTGATGGTTGTAGAGTTTAACGTTTAACCACAAAAATCAAATGAAAACCTGCAAACATTTTTATCAAGTGCTTTAAAGTCAAAGATTCGTGAGGATATTCTGTAAGAACAGGGTGTGTTTGGTTTTATGAGAGATTGCTGAGTGTGCATTCACACTCAGACTGTAATTGGGGAAATGTGTTTTCAAAGCCTTTAAGTGCATCTTTGGTCACTGCATTTGCTTAATTACACCACCTGCTACTTTTTAAGGCAGTGTTACTAGCAGCAAATATGCAGCAGGTTACCTGTCCACCAGAGCACCTATGCTGTCCATGACTGTCACAGCCTTGCTGACCATTTTTTCTCCTACAGCTTCAGAGGTTCCCTGATCCTCTGCTGTCTTCTGCAGGAGTCCCTCTGTCAGCTGCAGTCTGCTATAAATGACCTGCAGACACACATGTAATATGTTTTAAGATCTTTTGTGTTTCACACAACAGGATTCTTTCTATTATGTATAAGCATAAAAGATTTCGGATCTGGAAAAACTGGATGCCCTTTTCTCATAAGTGGCTTTCGGAAAACAAGTAGAGAAAACAGATCTATATATACATATATATAGTACTGCAAATGTTTTCTGTAATGTTAAGTAATATATGATCATATTCCATCAAAGTTTGATCATTTTCTGGTCCAAAATATTAAATTCAACGGTCCGACTTTGCACTTTTGAATTGTATGTATAGCACGAAACTGTGCACTCCCTTAGACTCTGCCAAAGGTCATCAGGTTATTCCTATCAGACAGATTTGTTTTGCATTCCAGGTCTTCACCACTCCTCAAAAATGGCAGTGAGTCACTGAGGTGCCAAGCCCTTAATTTATACGTGAAACAAGTTCGGTTCCCATGTCTATGTCCCATGTGCATAGAGCATAGTCTTTGAAACATTGTTCCAAAATTATATTACAGGATTTTCAGGTTTTGACATTTCTCAACAGTAAGTTCCCTGATGGGATTCACATATTTTTATAACATGAATTATGCATTTGTATAACTTGAATATTTTATTTATCAGTCTACAAGCCCTGTCTGAGCACTACTTTCACTTTTGTGCAAGCTCAGCTGACCCAGATGTGTCCACATTTTGTAGGTTATCAATTTGTTTATCAATACATATATATAATAACCCCCCTTCCTAATATATAATGCTACAATATAACAGTAGGTAAAATGTTAAAATGTTAATGCAGTCAAAAGTACCTTATTTCGGGCCTCCAGCGCTCGTCTCATCTCCTCTTCAGCTACGCTAAAGGTGAGAACGTCGTGGCTCTCGTGATGGCCCTCTACGACGCACGTGGTGCACAGAGAGATCATGTCGTTCGAACAAAAGTACTCAAGGGGACGCTGGTGGATGGCACAGACCTTCACTCTCAGCTCCGTCGTGGGCTCCACCACGGGGTGGGTCCTGAACAACTCCTTCTCGTGGTGTTTCTGAAGGTGTCTGGAGCAGAGAGACACCTCACACTTCAGGCAGGTCTTCACGGCGGGCGACTGCTCATCTATGCACTGATCACAGAAAACCTCCATTTTGGTATCCACGCAGTCTGCCTGCATGTTCAGCAGCAGCAGCGCGGTGGCCTTGTAGTTCTCAATGATGCTGCGAAGTTTGAAATTTATCTGCAGGTTATCCGTGCCAGGATACTCCTCACGACATTCTGGACAGCGCGGCAGGATTTTGCCAGTCTTATCCGTGCTGTCAATAGTCTTGCGGATACAGGATAGACAGTAGTTGTGCCCACAGGGGAGAGCCACCGGGTCCGAGTAGAGCTGGAGGCAGATGGGACAGCTCAGCTCGTAGGCTAGCTGGTCCTCTGGCTTTGACAGCGACATGATCCGAGGTGGTGAGACGGGTAGCTGCTTTTGTTCGTGCTTAGTTTCTCTTCTTTTGTCAGGTCTTCTTTAAATACCTTTGACTAATCTTACTTTATTTCTCGTTTCTTATCACTTCTTCTCAACCGTAAAGCTGTCAGGTGAGTCTATACAGAACAGGCCAGAAGGGCAGTGAGTGCATACTTATCCGACCATGAGGAGGTGTATCCACAAATGTTTGCAGGACAACATTCCGTTCTAAGACACCTTGTTTGCTGTGCTGCCAGAAACTGACACCATCATACTGGCTGCTGTTGATGGTTAAAATATTTCTGACAAATCGTCAGAACTTGTTTTAGGAAAGAGCTATGAGGATGCTGAATGCTGCTGGAAACCATAAAGCATGAATTTTGGTTAAATAATACTTAATATGT